GGTGAAGGGTGAAGGGAGGGCAGAGGTAAGGGGAAAAAAATGAGAATCAAGACTTGCCATGTAAAGGTACATGATCCCAACAATGAATGTAACTGTACTGTATCCCTAAATGTACCAATAAACTCAATTAAAAAAAAAAACAAAAAAAAAAACTGCAGTGCCTGAAACATGGAGAGAGACATCAAATGAAAATGTGGTTCTTATCTTTTTCACTGTGATGCAAATAGTCACAAAATGTGAATAGGCAGATCAAAACTGCTTATTGTTCTTACATTGTTTTCTTTCTAGGGATTTTTCTTCTTTTTCAAATTTCAATTCCTTTTGGAGTGGGGTGGTAAAAAGATAGACAGAAACAAACATACAATTTAGCATTCCAGCTCTGCTGGCTTCAAGACATACCCTGAACCACTGGGAATAGCTAGTCCTGTCCTGGCCAACTTGTACAGTTTTCCCCCTAAAGTAATAATCATATGGAAATTTGGACTCAGCAAGGCAAATAATGCTTATAAAACAAAGTAAAAAAACAAGTGGTAACAAAATAAAACATAAGAACCTATATCAATTATCTAAAGTTTACAGAAATAGTATAATTTCTAGGAAGGATCTGGGCTTCTTGCTGGAGTTTCTAGTTGCATGAGCTCCATGGTTCGTGCTACTTCCTTTTGTCCCCATCAGCAGAGGCTGCAGGTAGATGAAGGAGAGAAATACTGGAATTGGCTTCCAAAGGCATCCTGTACCCACAGCTACACACAAAAGCAGCTTCGGATAAGTGTTTTCTCTCCTTACAACTTAGATTATTCTGGATAAGAGTCCTTTTCCAATTGGCAAGTGAAAATCTAAGGTCTCAGAAGACATTATTTAATAAGTAACAGAGATGCCCAAAAGCACTGTTAAGGGAATCTTAAACTTGGTGCTTTAAGTAAATTTGGCTCTACCTTGAAGGAAGATGCAGGCTGAGTTATATCCCCAATGGACGACAAATATTGTTACCTTTGCTTCTCTGTATGCGCAGGAGTCTGGTTTAAAGCCATGGTGCATTAGGCAGAGTCTCCAGATGGCCAGAAACTTCCACTCAGAGAAACACAATGTTGCACTGGGTTATGGGGTATAGATTTAAGAAGTCTTCACTTCAAATATGCTTTGGAATAAAATCATGTCTTTGAAAACTAGGAGTGACCTCCGAGTTCCACCACAGGCTAGTAACTGTTCTGCCTGGGGAAGTTACTTAGCCTCACTTAGTTTCCGTTTCCTCATCTAAGAAAATGAAGGTTGCTCTCTGTATAGAATGAAGTATGATTCGTCCAGTGATTAGCAAATACCTAGCACAGAATAGGTGCTTGTTCAATGATGGCTTATATTTCCTCAAGACCATATCCAAATTTCTTCTTTGCATTTGCAAATGAAGAATTCATCAATGAGCCAAAGCCAAGGGTGAGTCTAGCCTTCTGGTAATGCAACAGCATTACTTCCTCTCAAGGGATCTTAATTTACAGAATCCAGAACCTTCTAAAGGAATCCATTATACTCTCTTAGGGAGTAGTTAGGGGGCTGGAAAATCTTAATCTTGAATTCTTATCTCTTTGCCACTTCCCACCCCCAGTCTTCCCACTGGATATTTAGAACTCCTTGTAAACTTCACAGAATTGAGATGCATTGAGATCTGTAGGAGGTGTTGGAGGGAAAGAGGGGGCCAGGGATGTTAAAAATCAGGGCAACAAAAATACCTATGATGTCATTTACCCTGACTTTTGAACCACCAGCTGCATCCTCTCCACTTGTTTGGTGTGATACCTCACCTCTTCCATTCTGTGTTATGACTTAACCCCAAAGCATACCTCAGAGGGTCTTCTGATAGAGTGATTCCCATACCTCCCCATCTCCTCACAGCCCCTCTCCCTCTCTCTCTTTCCTTCTCTGACTTTTAGCGCAGCCAATTAAACCTGAACAACGGGTGGATGGAGGAAATATGCTACATCTATGGAATGGTACAGCAGGGACCAGTTTCACTGTTAATTTAAAATGCTAGAATTAATTAGGTAGTGTAAATGAAGAATTTAATAAGCACTCTTTACAACCACAAGTTCTACTTTTATTAAACACTGCTACCAAATGAGGGCAAATATCTCTAGTCCCTCTATATTTCCCTGCCTCATTCCCAGAAGTTCTCTACAAATAAGAAAAAAAATTTTGGATGAATTAAAAAAATGCATAATTATAAATTTATGCCTGAATTTTATTTCTGCTTTCAACCCATAAGCTTCTTCTTTAAGCTCAGATGCTACTGTATATCTCTGCTTGTGCGGGAGAGGGTGCTAAACAAACCAAAGTTGACAATTTTGGTTTTGTATACCAAATTAAAGGCTGTCTCCGAAGCTGTCACTCCTATTCAAATCCACTCGGTGAACTACCAAATTAGCATTCTTTCAGTAAAGGAATCTGCTTGTTTAAACATGTGTCTTCAGAAAACAAGGAACAACACCATGAATCAGTACTTCTCAAAAATCTCACTACCATTCTGAGGGAACTCTTCTGAAAAGGTGATTAATAATATTCACAGATATATTTGGTAAAATCCCTATTTAGAAGGTAAGGCTAAACCAAAAATACACTTTCTATATAGGAGTGGGAGGAAGAATTATATGGCTAACTGGTTTTAATTTGATCTGAATTATCATTCTATTATATAAAGATCATTCAGGAATCTAAACAAGAGCTTTCTGAAAGTATAGCCAATTCTGTTAAAGTGTAAATGATCCACTGCTCTGGGATAAGATCATTAAAGCCTGGTCTTATCTGGAAACCTTTAGTACTTTTCTGTTCTGGCTATTTTCCTTAAAGCATAACAGTTGTATCTATAATAATAGCATCTCCGTTTACTGAAAGACTTCTATCCAATGCGCATTGTGCTGGGTGCTATACGGCCAGTCTCTCATTTCACCCTTACAGTGCACCCTTTGAAGTATTTTCCAATTTCAAAATGAGGAAATTGTGTTTAGATGGTCATATGACTTACATTATAGAAAGCAACGCCATTATTTCAATTTTATATTGCTGCAAAGTGCTTAATTTATAAGGGGTCAAATTTACATGTGAATTATGAGAAAGAACGCACATGTTTATATCTGTATGCACACACAGATATTGTAGTGTCTGATTTAAAATCAAGGTGATATGTCTTCTTATTTTAGTCATACAGCCTCTGAGAGAGTTAAGCCAGTTCTTTGTCAATTAAACTGTCTAAAGAAAGGGAAACAAAAGTTGACACTCTCAACTGACAAGTGCTCCAAGTCGAAGTGAATGATTTTAAGAGCATAGGGTCAGACAGCAGTAACTTTACTGACCTCACTGTGTAATGTAAATGTTTTTCTAAGAAAATATTTTCATTTCCTATAAAATTACAGGGAAATTTCTCCCAAAAGAATTACAGTTATCACTGGCTGGCAAACATTAGGTTCTTGATGAGCAACTGTCAACTAGGAAAAAATCAAAACGTAAAAATTATGACTAATGAGGTTGTAGGTGGAATCATTTCACTATCAAGTAAAAATTCCCTAATTTCTCAAAGAATATCTTCAAAACAAACAATAAAAATAACTCACATGCAGATCTTCATTAAGAATCTCCCCTCTACGGCAAAGTAGTTATATTCCAGAATAGCCTGCTATGTGCCAGGCCTATTTCTTCCCAGGGACAATAACCAGTTGTGTCACCTTTCCACAAGTCCACCCTGGCCCTCTTTAAAATACTTGTCTCAACACATGGAAGAAAATGACACACACAAACCCATGTTTGGGAGATAAAGAAATGAATTAAAACTAGTGTGGAGTACAGGGAGGGCAGAGGGTAGAACTGGGACCTACAGAGCAAAGGGAACAGAAGGCTCATTAACAATAAAAGAGGATAAAGCCAGAGGATCCTTTCACACAAAGGTGAAGGAGCTCCAAAATCTTCATCTGTTTCCTAGTCCTACCAGTCTACAATATGGGTTTATGTAGTGTACACAGACATATGGTGTGAGTTTGTGGCTGTGTACCCATGACATGCTTGAATGTGGAATACATGATGCAGACACTCTGATGAGTAATCACGTATGTGCATTTCTGCCAAGGTCCACAAAGTTTATGGAACAACAGAGTTGTGAATACCACGCCTAGAATATTGAAGAACAACATACCTGTAATTTTGTCTCTCACAAGTTTGCAGGATTCTATTTCACCAATGCTACCAAAGAGACTCCTGAATTCCTCTTGGGTCATATTTTGGGGTAAATAGTTGACGATGAGGTTGGTTTTGCTGTCATCTGTGGCTGCCCCTGTCTGCATGGGAGAAGGACAGTTTCTGTTGTTGCTGGAGGGTCCATTGCTTGTATTGGATGTCGGGCCATTTGACACCTGAGGTTCCATGGTGCTAATTATCTAAATTAAAAAAAATATTACAAAGAATTCTTTTGAAATCTCAAAAATACAAATTCTCGTTTAAGATTTTATTTTACTTTTTGAAAAGAAAGAGAACAAGATGAAGCAAGATGGAGCAAAAGAGACTGGGTTGTGAACACAGCCAATTTAGAAGCATGTTTTTAACCAAAATGTTAAACTCCCCTTGCTATTTTTAGGCCAGCCCTTAGATTTTGAACACAGACTAGAATGCAGTGGGAACTCTCCCATTATTTTGTTAATGAAAAGCTAATTCCTGTTTTCATTACACAATCACTCTCAGAAATGTATACTTAAGCCACACCAAATTATAATTAAAATGTAAAGTAATAATCATGATTAAAATTATAGTTCCATTAAAGCTGAAAAAGCTAAATATAGAGGGCTATACTCACAAGATCAAATACAGTACCTGTTTATTAACTATCTCATAAAATACAATGACATTAAATTAAGTGGGGCTGTTCCACAAGGGAAGTGTTTAGATTTTCACTAATACTTAAACATTGATCAAACTTTTGATTTCATAAGTACATGCTGGGGAGCTACAAAGTCATCTAATGATTTTAACCCAGCTGTTCTGTTACTGTTTCTCCAAGATCTCTAATGGAACAAAACAGAAAAGTTTTCTCCAGTTCTTCGCCTTAAATCCAGCACAGCTCAAAGCCATCCTCTTATGCATTACTCAAGGAGGACATTTTCTGGGTTTATATATTTAATTAAACAATGCTTTTCTAGCATGTGTGAACTGTCCCAGGCACCTTGCAAGGAAATAAAAGAAAAAAGAGTAAGAGTCTTTATCATCAAGCTTCTAGTCTACCTAGGACACAGGTGAACAACTGGAGGATGTAGAAGGGAAGCAAGCCATTCCTCCCGAATACAGGATAGGATTCAGGAAAAATACCAAGAAGATAATGCTAGAGTATGATTTTAAATGGAAAATGGGTTTAAACTCATAGAATCATCTTATAAAGGCATCTTGTATAGAATGACAAAAGTGGAAAATCACTAAACTGCAGAGCCAGAAGGCCCTTAAGGAAATAAAAACTAATTTAATGCTCTCATGTTTGAGATGAAGTCCAGTAACTTTCTTATCACCAGAAAGTGGGGTACAGTCTGGGGCAATACTCAGTTTTCCTGGTCCCAAATGCAGCCCATCACTTCCACCTTTCCATCTTATCTTATTATTGACGCTACTTGTCTAATATGATAGGGCTTTTTGTTCCCTCTCAAACTGATCACCAGCTCCCTGGGAATGAAACCATGTTCTGTCATTCAGCAGCTGTATGGCATCTGGCAAGACATAAACTGTAGGAGCCTCAGTTTTCCTCATTTGAAAATGGCAACAATGCCACCTGCTCTTGTAAAATGGTGAGAAGGATCCAAGTGAAATGACATATGTACAGTGAGAAGGTAATCACAACTGGATATTTATTAAAGTTACTCTGACGATCACCTGATGTCTTTCTTAATAACTCCTCATAAGATGGTAATGAGGCATATTCTAAAACTCTCTACATCTTACAGACTAGGAAAGCAAGGTGTGGCAGATATCTAATAACTTGTAACTTTCATTAATACTATTCTGCTGCTCAGAAAAAAATTTTGGGGGGGTTAAACTTTTTCACTGACTAGAACATATATGTAGTGAAATATATACAAAGTCTACAACTCAAAGAATGTTTATAAAATAAATACGACTTATACCTGGGTAACCATTTTTCAGAACATGTCATAGAACATGACCAGCACCACAGAAATCTTCCTCTTTTCCCTTCCTTTTCCATTTACACATCCCGGTGCCCCACCAAATAACCACTATTCTGATTTCCAATCCATAGTTTCACTTTATGTAATTTTGAACTTTATATACATGGATTCATAGCATATCTACTCTTTTGTACATTTTCCCAGGTCTGAAGTGTCATCTATGTTGTTACATGTATCAAATAGACTGTTGTTCATTGCCATAGAGAATTCCATTGTATAGAAATATTGCATTTTATATCTCTTTTGAACATCTGAATTGTAACTAGTTTTGAGCTGTTATAGATAAATATTGCTGCTGTGAGCATTATGCACATGACTTTTGGTACATATACACACACATTTCTGTTTGAGATATTTTTTGAATCATAGGGTATAAGTATGTTCAACTTAGTAGACACTATCAAAAGTGTTTCAAAGTGGATGTACCAATTTTTTACTCCCATCAGCTTGAAATGAAAGTCCTCATCCAATGTTCAAAGGCAGATTTTATGGATTTGGTTTTGCTTATTCCTTCACTGCAATAAAGAGTGATATAGTAAAAAAGGGGAATACATTTTTGAGTGAAAAAAAACACTGCCTTAAAATTTTAGTCTTACCACTTATAAGCAGTGTGAGTTCACGAAGCTTATTTCAATACTCCGAACCTCAGTCTCCTTTTCTGAAAAACTAGAATAAGCCTTGCCATGAGGCATTATTTTCAGGATGAGAGCATATACATGTTTGACACAAAGTGCCTAGAAGCATCATAACTATCACTCCTCATCATGCCCCATATAGGTGAGTGCTACTATGTTTCCTGTTTTGATGGTCACAAATGGGAGATGAAACCAAAAGAAAAACATGAAGTCTGAAGAAGAGCCAGGGAAACAAAGCAAATTGAAGAGGGAGTGTCTAAGTTTCTTTACCATCATGCAAGTAACTTAAGTGGCTCCACTTCTTACATCACCAGACCTTTCTTCTTGGCTTCAGGTCAACTGTAGAATTCCAGAAGGCTGGTCCAGAGAGCAAAGAGAAAGCAAAAAGCTTCTGAGAAGAATCTTAACTCCAATTCTCCTCAGAACTGATAGAAACTGCACCCAGCAAAGCCTAGCCAGTTGCTTGCCCTCAAGGTAAGGGTCCAGGAAAAGAACAGGGAGATAGATGGTGGGTTTGAGGGTGAAGTATGCTAATGGGGATGTTGTTGCAGACAGCATCAGCACAACTCCTGGCTGGGAGGCAGGTTCCTGCTCTGCCCACCTGTTGGTCCTCCTGGGCCTATGCAGGGACTCTATTTGCTGTGTCATCTCATTGTTTCACTGAGCTAGGTGTCCAGACAACAAACAGGAAGTAATGCCAACTCAGCAAGGAATGTGAAAATCAGAATTTATCATTTTAGGAGGCCTGGCTGGCAGAACCACAGATCTACTCAACTACTGAATTTTGATTTTACGGCAACATCATCAACTCCAATAAGAACAAAACTAGTCCCACAGTCTAAGGAACCCCGTTCTTTCTTGCTTACCACCTTTCTCATGTAAACTCTCTTCAGCTGCTTCACAGAAACCTAGAAAATATCCTGCATTGAGGCAGATTTTTGGTGCTAATGATAGAAGTTGGAATATACAGAAGAATGGATATCACATCCAAGCCTGCTGAGATTTTGTGCAATCAAAACTGTTCAAGGTCACATGGCAGTCATATTCATCTTTTGTTCACTGTATGCTTACTTCACAGACATCTGGTGAAAGCCTGCACTTGCCCACGTTAACATCTGACAGGTTTACTGCTCCAGAAAGGCTTAGGAAGTATCAAGGCTGCAGCAAAGTAGTTTTAGTTACCTCACTGTCTTTCTAGATCTTTTTATATCTCCGGTGGATTTCCTAATTTATGTTAATTCTTGGAGTGGAGCCCTATTAATAGATTAGGCTATCTCAACTGGACTTAAACCTTTGAGAAAGAGTCGCAAGACACAAGAAGATGTTTATCATTGAGCTATTTTAACTAACCACAACTATAAATTAAGTCATGTAATTCTTGTGTAAGAGACGGAGTTCTCTTTGCTCTGCACACACACTATACTATTATCCTTTTGTGTATCTAGAAAGAACTGATGAAAATGAATACAGACACAGAGAGATTTTCTCAATTAAACTGTACAATCTGAAAGTTGAGAAATATTTGCAAGTGTGTCAATATACATTATGTAATAAGATCCCTCACTGGTCTTAATGGTACATCCCGGAATGCACTACAGGATAAAACTTAAAACAAAATGTAGATGTCAGCATCAACTGACATGTAAATGAATCAAGAGGATTTTAAAACATAACCAAGAAAATAAGAGAAGTTGTTAAGAGGTAAAGATATTGAATGCATGAACATGAAACTATAGCATTTTAAAGTTACAAGATAGATTTAAAGACAGGTCACCTGTGTTCCTTTCATGGGAAAACAGAATATAGGCAGACAAATTTTTGTTGGTGAGAAGAACATCCTCCAATAGCACAGAGGTTACAGAATACTTATTTCCTCAGGATAATGCCTATGGTATTCTCACAGTCCAATTTTCATTGCAAATAAATATCTCAGTTCCTCAGATGTGCATATGTACTTCGACAAAACATTCTGTGTGAGTCTCACAGCCAACTTTGCAGCTGACCAGGTTCCAAACCCATGACTTGTCCTCCTTTCCTCTTCTGAATGGCAGTTAAGTGACAGACTTGCAGTCAGCATCCAGGATAGAGCATTGAGGAGGTTCAGTTGATTTCAAACTCTAATTGTTGTATAAAGCACTACATTAAATCTTTTATGTTCCTGTGATATATTTTAAGCAACATTATACAGGCAGAAAATTTCAGGGATAAACTATTAGAACAGTGCACAATAACACAGGCACTCAAATCCATCATTGCCAGTGTCGATGGTTTGAATGACTAATTACTCATACTCAACACATTAACCTCACCCCTCCCACCACTCTTTTCTGGGAAATGTACAACAAAGGCAAAAGGGAAAACCTCAGATACACAGCTGCCAGATCATCACCAGGATCTTTTATCCGTCTAGAGAGGCTATAAGGAGCAGAGACTACACCAGCCTCTTTCTCATGGCATGGTGGGTGGGGGCAACCCTCTCTGCTCTTCATGGCACCGGCTCACCACAATTTAGGGTCTTTATGCTCACTTACAGTACCTGTAAATACTTCCTGGACATGCCACAGCATATAAAATGTGTTTATTTTCACTATAGCTAGGTCTAGGTCTGTGAGATCAACTGAGATGGAGCCCCGGTATCCCCAGCTCTAGAAGGTGATGGGTGGCATGCGTCACAGTTCTCACTATCTTGGTATGAGAAGCTGGGTAGACAGTGGGTAAGTCTTACAAGTTAAGAGAGGCAGAGTTCTAAATTTTTCTATCAAGAAGCAAAAAGAATGTTAATCAGACAAATTTGCTCCAAAAATGTCACAGGCTTAAAGGGGAGGGTTTAACTTTGGACTTTCTATCTGGAGGCAATAGATTAGATTTTCTGGGGAGAAAGGGCCAGTGCACTCAATAAGTTCTCGACGGATACCATACTAGCCAAAGGTTCAACCTCCCTGCTTGAATGAATTTGAAACAGAGACAAAAAGTAGAATTGTAGATGCCAGGGCTGGGTGTGTGGGAATGGAGAGTTATTGTTTAATGAGTGACAGTAGAACTTCAAATCTGCAAGATGAAAGGAACTCTGGAGACAGACAATGGTGATGGTTGCATGACAATATGTAGGGGTACTTAATACCACTGAATTGTGTACTTAAAGATGATAAATTTAAACTTGTACATATTTTACCACAATGAAAAATTTTCAAAAGTGTATGCCTGCCATAGAACAAATGCTCAGTAAGTGTCTGATTATTTACTTGTTCTATTGTTTTTCATTACATGTAAAGTGGAGATGATATTAGTATTTTATTGGCTTGTACCTCACAGGGTTGTTTGAGGGAGTCAGTGAGTACTGGATATACAAGAACTTTCATTCATTCAGCAGTTCTTTATCCAGAATCTATCAATTGTCAAGCCTTGTTCTATAAGCAGGGGATACTATGAAAAAAATCTTTACATTACAGGAGCCTGTCCTGATGTAAAGCTTACTACTGTCATTCATCATTCCAGAGCCCAGTGCAGGCCATTATGTCTATCATCACATGCTCTTAGCAGGCCTCAACTTCTGGTTCAGGTGCTTTTCTGGTAGAGGTGTGGTTTCATTGTTCAATTTATACAAAAAGGTCAGGAGGAAAGATCCACTGAAGACCATAGGAATATGATGCTTCTTTAAAATACTTTCCTCTTTCACTTTTAAACTCCTTTAAATGTCAACTATCCCGGAAACTAGAAAGGTATGGACTGACAGCAAACATGTCTCAGGTGTGTACAAGTGAGACACACGTCTACCTTATCAAATATTATAATACTATTTAAAATTCATTTACCACATTGGAAGGGCTTTTGAAAATTTATATATAAACCTAAGCCTTGTGTAATAGAACAACTGCTCCCAAGAGCAAGAAGAATAATGTTTACCAAGGGCAGTCACTGAGTTAAACCATTAAAGAAACAGATTTAAATTATTCATGGGAACAAAAATAAAAGTCCTAATTCACTTTGTTGGCATTTCCCACTTAACCCTTACAAAATTCTGACATGTGGTATGTTAGACTGTAGTGGAATAGCCCTGACTATTGTATCTCACCCGCCTTATAAAAGCCCCCAAAAACAAATTCCCAAAGTTAGAAAATTAAGCAGCATGCTCTGTGCTTCTGAAGACAGACATTATTATTAAGAATAATTCTCACTTCTTTCCCTGCTTTTTGAAAGATACTAAAAATGTCCATCTAGCACCCCAATTTCATATTTCTTTAAACTTTCTTTCATCAGCTCATAAAATCTGTACTCATCCCTCCCTTTTTTCAAAGGGCTTTAATTTGCAGCAGTCCCTTCAGGCTCATTTTTTTTTCTAAATGTAGCACTTTCCTTGTTATGATTCAGCTTCGAAGGAGATACATATTATTAATAGGGGCCAAGAGGAAGGGCTGAGATCGATGATCTGATCACCTAGGAAAAGGGAACTAGGGAATGCCAGCTTTTCAACAAAAGCACCACCGAGGGCAGGGATCTTGGCTGAAGACCACACTTCAGTTCCCCAAACCATTCATACTAAGTTTCTGTAGATTCCTTTGGCAGGTAACTAGAAAATTCTAGTCAAAAAAATTAATATCAAGCAGGGAACACACTCTGACAGCTTAATAATACCTTTGGGCAGATATACAAATAACCTGAAAAATCTATTTACTCTAGGAAGTTAGGTGGTAATAAATTCTCAGCATCTCCTTAAAACAAGTGTATACAATTCCACACAAGTTTACTGAATGCTGTTATGTGCTTAGGCATTGTTCTAGGAACTGAGGAAACAAAAATAATTTGGTCTTGCACATAGAGGGCTCAAATTGGGAGAATGGCAGAGGAAGACAGTAACCTAATACTTCATTAAACTCAACTGTATACATCCCTTTACTTTCAGCAATCCACCTCTGGAGTTTTTCTAATGATGCCTCTCCTCACCCAAAGCACACAAAGTGAACACGCTGAGATTATTCCTATGCCATTCTGATACGGAACTAACAGTCTTGTTCCCAGTCTAAATGTCTCAGTCCTAAACAAATGGCTGTTTGCAACAAGGAGGGAAGCTTGAGGCATCCCTCCTTCGAAACAGCATTTTCTTCAGTGGAGATGAACACCAGGCATGCCAAAAGTATTCTCAGTGGAGGTACTTGGAGCTTTTAAAAAATCAGCAGTCACTAGAGAGAACAAGAGCCATTAATACTTAAAATAGCAGGGCCAGCACAGATATGAAAAGCATAATCAAAATTTAATTTCTCTTAGGCATTATTCTCAAATTCAAAGAAATCCAAATTTTTAATCTTCTTCCCCTGATATATCATGCACATTTTCTCTCCTAAATAAATACTGGCCTCCTT